TTGTTGTTGTTGTTGTTGTTGTTGTTAATGTTGTTGTTATTTACCTTAGGAAAATCTGCTATCAGGGACCTCTCCAGAATGCTGAAGGGGGGCAGTGATGCCAAGCTGTAACCTAAGGTGCACCTCACCCAGGCCATGGTCTTTGCAATTACTTGCTATGCATCAGAGAGCTGGACAATGACTAAGGATAACAGAAAAATCAATGCCTTTGAGTTGTGTTGGAGAAGAGTATTGAACATACCATTAACTGCCAAGAGAACAAACAGATCTGTCTTGGAGAAGGTGAAACTAAGTTGCTCCTTGGAGACAAGGATTTTGAAGCTCCTTCTCACACTCTTTGGGCATTTTCCCAGGAAGAACTCATTCTTGGAGGACATCATCCTAGGAAGGGTAGAGGGACAGTGCAGGAGAGGAAGACCCTGGATAAGATTAACTGACTCAGTAACCAGGGTAATGGAGTTTGTTGTGTTGGAGACAATGAGATTGACTCAGCATAGGGCAGGGTTCAGAACTATTGTGCATAAGGTCACTACGAGTCACAGTTGATTAGATGGCACATGACAACAACAGCAATATATTTATAAGACTTAAGTTATTTGTATGTTGTTGTTAGTGACTACAACAATGGCCTTGAGCATGGTCGAGATCATTAGGATGGCAAAGAATAGGTCAAGGTTTCAATCCATTGTTCATAGAGTCACTATGAGTCATAGTCAATGTAATAGCACCTAAGAACAACATACTGTTAGGTACAAGTTGGCTGAAATCACAGAGATATCATATAAAGCAACATGAAGTCTACCCAGACTTCCACCACCCTTACAATGATTGTTATATTTGAGACCAATTCTGCATTCATTGTGTTAATTCGTCTTGTTGAGAGTTTTCCTCTCTTTCGCTTTCTATTTTTCCAATCAGGGGACTGAATCAAAACCAAAAACCAAATCCACTGCCACTAAGTCAAAATCTACTCTTAGTGATGACCTCTATTGGGTTTCCAAGGCTGTAGATCATTAAAGGTCATTAGCAGATTGAGACAGCAATGCACCACACCATCAGCTCTTTGAGGACTCAACAGGTAAGGGTAATTTAAATTTCTGTCTCCACCATGGCCTCTCTGAGCAGTTGGTGTTGGATTAGAACTTGAGTAGTTGATTATAGACTCTATATTTTGTTCTCAAACCAGAGGTCTGGTGGCCTAGTGGTAAGGAGTTGTACTGCCAGCCCAAAGACACCCAAATCCACTAGCTATTCCATGGAAGGAATATGATCAGTCTCCTCCTGTGCTATTTACTGCCTCTGAAAACCTGCTGAAGGATCAGCTATTAGATGATTCTGACTCCACAGAATATATATAACAACAACTCTTCTTAAGGAAACAGAACACACTTTCTAGGATAGGAGCCTCTTACCTGGGGAAGTGAGGACACCTATCTTCCCCCCAAAGACCAGGTCAAGGTGAAGGAACTTCACCCTAAGGAATATTCTTACACTATCAGGATAAAAATCAAATGTTGAAGTCACTGAACTTTGGATACTCACATGGGCTTTAGACAGGAAGATCGTCCACTTAGCTGACTTGATAGCATCAAGTTACTTTATCTGACCCAAAATTCACTCAGCATGCCCTGGTGGTGTACATGAGCTTCCAAAACCACTGGGATTGAATTATCCTCCAGTTTACACTCCCACTAGATGTGCTAGGAGCATGTCATGTGACTGATCTCACCCCTTCCGGAGAGGTGAGGAAGTGGATAGATATGGCCCTTCCCAAACCACGGGCCCTTGAGCCTTACAAGGAGAGTCCTATCCCTCTACTGAGCCCATACTCCCTGCTGTCATCCCCTCTTGATGTCCTATCCTATCCACTGTGGACTCTGTGCTGCCAGAAAAATATTAATCATAAAAAGCTAATGGTGGATATTATCCAACTGACCCCCAAGCTATCTATGTCTTAGCAGAACCCAGGGTGCATTACAGCTAGCCTGGGAACACCACCACTCTAGGGTGAGATGCAGCCTCTAGAGGTACCACAGATTGTCCTGTTCTTTCTTTACCAATTGACTCTGTGGAGGAACTGGCTTTTTTGACGCTGTTTGTGCTCTTGATAGCTGCTAGCTGCTTATGCTTTCTATATGTAACTTATGCTTACTCTACGTAATATCTGCTAGGTGGCCTTGGAGGCCCAAAGCCTTTTCCAGAACCATAAAAATTCCTGCCTTCCACTTGGGGATAGTGTTCAGAGAAGCAAGTCACACACACGCGCGCGCGCGCACACACACACACACACACACACACACACACACACACATCCAAAGCTTTACCCTATAAGTCCATAAACTTGATATTGTAATTCAGGATAGATCAGCCTTTTTCTTCATTCTCTCAACAACTTTAATATTTGGAGACAAATTTAAAGTTACTGGTCAGGTCACAATCTTCAAACTTCTAAGGCATAGTCTCCTCAGGACATCAGGCTTCCAGGTAATGATAATGTAAAAGGCCTGAGCCAAACCCGGTTGACACAGCCAGGAAATTCAGCTTAGGGACGCAGCCCAAGGGGATATGTTGTTTGTTGTTATGTGGCCTTCAGTCGCCTCCAACTCATAGCAACCAGGTGTACAACAGCTCTGAAGACTGCCCTGTCCTGAGACAGTCTCACTGACTCCAACACACCTACCTCTATTGCCCTAGTTACTGGATCAATCCATCTCATCCAAGGTCTTCCTCTCCTGCACTGTCCCTCCACTCCAAGGACCAGTCCCACTTGGCCACATGCCCAAAGTATGTGAGACAGAGCTTCAGAATCTTAGCCTCTAGGTAGAAGCTTGGTTTCACCCTCTCCATGACAGAACTGTTTGATTTCTTGGTGTTCCTTGACACTATCCCTTGACAGAGGAAGAGCAGGACTCATGGAGATCTCAAAGGAATGCCAAATTCAACAGACACTGTAGGAAAAAAGGACCTTCTTCTGCAATCAGGAGAGAGAGTTGGCTTTCCCCTAGAGCTAGTACATTAAATTTGGACTTCTAGCATCATAAATTCTAAGAAAATAAATTTCTGTTTACCAAAGCCACCACTTCTGGTATCTCTGTTATAGCAGCACTAGAAAATTACAGTGGAAGGCATAAACAAATATATCTTGGAAGGATTAGAGTTAAAATACTCCATGAGGGTAAGGATAGGAAGACTTCTCATATACTTTGAGCATGTTACCAGGAGAGATCAGTCTCTGGAAAAATCCATCATGCTTTGAAAAGTAAAGGGCCATCAAAAAAGGAAAATCTCCAAATGTGTGAGATAGATTAACATGGTGACTGCAAAAAAGACTCAGTCATAGTAATGATTCTGAGGATGGCATGGGCTCAGGTGGTATAGCACTGCTCTGTCGATTTGCTGTACAGAGGTAACTCGTGGTGGCTGTGACCCTGATGTGCCAAATGTCTGTCAGCATGGTGGAGGTTTATAGCTTCAATGGGACTATATCTGTACCACGCGCGGCAGACAGTTTGACACTGGACTTGGGATGTTGGATGATCTCAGTCATGTTGTCAACTGTTGGTGATCATAGCGCTTCAGCTGTCCTATCTGAACTTGATAGGTACTTGGCTCCAACTCTATTCTAGGGAGAAAGAGAGGGAGCACCGAGCTCAAAAGCTTGAAGCAGGAGTCATTACGGGGCTAGCTCCTCTGACTGGTCTTCCAGAGACCTAGACCACTGCCCCCAACCCTTGCTGAGATGTCACCACACCCTTGCCACATCCTATCGAGGTCCTGCCCCAATATATCGATATATCAAAACAGTTCCACTGAGAGAAGGGACGAGGATTAAATGAAGACGCAGAGAGCCTCCTTGTTGATCACGAGTCCCTCTCTTTATTATCTCTGAAAAGGCTTATATAGGTTTCAAAAAAAACACACCTGCAGGGGTAATCACATTATCTCATTTAGGTTTCTGAAACACACCTGCAGGGGTAATCACATTATCTCATTTAGGTTTCCGTTTGAGATGGTTCTAGCCAAGATGGAATCCATTCTGCTGGTTTTACAAATGTAGTGCTAGTCTTGCCTTGCAAGTTAGCCAGGCCTCTGACAACATCCCTCTACATGTTACTCACCTATCCAAACAAACACTTGACAGCCACTCATGGGATGAAACAGTGAGCTGCTGTCAGCACCCACTGGGGGTGGATGAGGGAACCCACACACACGTGCTGCCACACTCCAAGATCCTGGTTGTGCACTCAGAGGCTGACCTGCCAGACCCACCTCCTAGACGGAGCATCATGACCTCCCCCCATGATGCCCACAAACTTGGTCCCTGAGTTAAGAGCGGAGGATACAGAGCAGGGAGTCATCAGGGATCCAGATTTCCCTGCCGCAGGATCACTAAACACCACTCAACCCTTTCCCAATTCTTCATTTTAGGAACATCCAAACCAATACTCTGGTACCAGGATGGTCCTAAGGCTAGCACACACCTGGAGGAGGGAGGGATGGGGACCTAGGACAAAGCAGCCACTGGAAGGGCTCAGAACTCACTGAAGGTCATAGGCATGGAGGCTCCCAGGCAAGCAAGGGTCTGTAGGCATCCATAGGCAAAAGGGAAGATCTGGGTGAGGAATTTGGTCCAGAAGGCAGGGTGTAAACAGGCACTCACCTTGATAAAACCCTCATCTCCTGGCTCATCTCTCTGAGTCTCATTTAACTTGAGCACAAGAGTGAAAAGGAGTAAGCCCCCCATGAGGTGGAGAATGGACAGGAACCGTGGCTTCCCTTAGGGGCCTTGGTGGCCCGAGGTCAGAGGGCCCATCAGTGGGCACTGCAGAACTCTCACTACATTCCCAATTGCACCTGACCTCTACCAGTCCCTCACCAGACAATCTCATACCTTCTACTGCCCCATCTCAGCTGCAGCCACACAGTCCACCCCAAAATATGAAGGACACAAGCAGGAGGGGGATGCCAAGGAGCTCTGAAATCCCAGACCTTGAGTCCAGGCTGGCAGCACAGGGAACGAGTTGGTCATCAAATTCACAGTAACTCCAACAGAGAGCCACCACAAGAGCAAATTCACCAAAACGGAACCTTCAGTGAGACAGCATGGAGCACTATCCAACCGGACAGAGCAGGTTGCCACCATCTGACTGAAACAAGCACATTATTGCATCTGATCGAAAGAGAGAGCTTCGTGAGGTGTTTTCTCCATAGGGAACCTTGAGTGGTGTCAGTGTGGTTTATGTTTAGTGCACTGGAACGTCTCAAGGGTTTATTTGCCTTTGTTTATTTTGAAAGAATAGAGGACTCAGAAAAGGCTATGGGAAGGGCAAATGGCACAGAACTAGATGGTAGAAGAATTCATGTTGATTATTCTGTTACCGAGAGAGCACACACACCTACACCAGGCACACTCATGGGCAGGCCAGCTTACGGTGGAGGTGGTGGCAGACGGCGACATTCCTGCTATGACAGAGAATATGATCGTGGGCATGACAGATACGAAGGTGATCTTCTTCTCTACGGATAATCATGGCCTTCTCTCTCTGTTGTGTACAAACTGAGGCCAAACACTCCAAGACAAGTGTTGGGATCTGGATTTGCTATGTCTTCTCCGGTTAGACTTCGGAAAGTAACTCTGGCTCCTCCTACGTCGATATTCTGGGGTGTGGGATCTACTTCGAGACCGTCTCCTATGAAAGTGAGAGTGGGATCTGGATCGAGTGTAATGTCTATAAGAAAGTCTCCTAAATCTCGATCTGGATTTTGATCTTGACCCAAAATGGGATTCAGAGTGTTTGGTTCCTGACCTGCTCTCCGATTTTACACGAGCAGGAGTTCCTGTTTGAGATTTCAGCTGAGAGCGAGACTCTCTGCCCTCGAAGTTCTTCTCCTCCACATCACTCATGTAGGCCAGGCGTTTCCCAGACATAAATAAAAGACAAGTCTCAGCTTAACGGCCAATGGCCTAATCAACTCGCTAATCGGACCCTGGGGAGGAGGAAAGAGTCTGCAACAACGCCGCTCTGCTCCACTCCCACTCGATCACAAGCCCCGTCAAAGTCCAGTTCTTTACTTCTTGATTCCTTCCCTTTGATTTGGCTTTTCTGCGTTTTTGTGCAATATTCAGAGTCTTTTCTGACATCATTCCTGGTTTTGTCTTTCTCCTCTGTCTTTGCAGTGACTTTTTGTCTTTTTCATGAACGATATTCTTTATATCCTCCCATATCTGATCTGGCCTTAACTCACTAGTGATCAAGGCTTCAAACCTGTCCCTGTTCTACAACCAGGAGAAGATAAAATAGATGAATGGGACATTCTAAGAATCAAATTCCTATGTATATCCAAAAACTTCTCCAACAGGGTAAAAAGGGAAGCTACAGACTGGGAAAAAGTGCTTGGTAATGACATGCCAGATAAGGGACTAATATCCAGAATTTATAAAATACTTGAGCACCATAACAAGATAAAGGTAAACAATGCAGAAATGTTCAAAATCCCTAGCTCTAAGAGAGATGCAAATTAAAACAACTATGAGATATCATCTCACCCCAGTCAGAATAGCAAAATTTAACAGAACAGCAAACAACAAATGCTGGCGAGGTTGTGGAGAAACTGGAACCCTGATTCACTGTTGGTGGGAGTGTAAAATGGTGCAACCCCTGTGGAAAGCAGTATGGCGCTTTCTCAAAAAGTTGCAAATAGAGATACCATTTGACCCAGCAATTCCACTACTGAGAATATACCCCAAAGAGACCATAACTGATATCCAAGCAGATATATGCACACCCATGTTTATTTCAGCTTTGTTCACAATAGCAAAGAGTTGGAAACAACCTAAGTGCCCATCAACAAACAAATGGATAGAGAAGCTGTGGTATATTCACACAATGGAATACTATGCTGCATTGAAAAACAAGGAACTCATGCAATATTATTCAAGATGGAGTGACCCTGGAGGACATTATGCTGAGAGAAATATCTCAGTCACACAGGGACAAACACTGCATAATACCACTGTTGTAAAACAGGACTGACATCAGGGTTGAGGGGAGACTGAGAAAGATGGAATAAATAATGTATACTGCATTGAAACAGATGAGGGAGAAACCTGTTTAAAGGGGATATGTGAGTAGGTGTTATTGTCATGACAGGAGTCCAGAACAAAGACTGCATAGTAGAGTGGACCTGGGGGCAGGGATTGTAAAACAATGAAAGAATTTTTCTTTTACTTTTCAAAGAGAAGAGTGTACTGGGGGTGGGGCAGGGTGAAAAGTGCAACAATGAATGAATGGAAATCCAAAGTCTCTGCAAATTTTCATTAAAATTAATAATAATAAAATTAAAAAAAAAATGTGTGTCCCTGAGATGGTCTTTAACTTCTGGTGGGATAGACTCGAAGTCAAACTTTGGTCCTGTGGATTTGATTTATCATTTATTTAGCTTCAGTTTGAACTTGATGGTCTGTTGTTCAGTCAGCACATTACTTAGTTTCACAGTTGCTATTGAGCTTCTCCAATGATTTTTTTTTCCCACAAATGTAGTCAATCTGATCATCTGTACACCATCAGGTGAAGTCCGTATTGTAAGGTCACTGAGGAAGGACAGAACCTAGTGCTGGGCAAGAAAGTTTATTGAGGAGAAACTTCCAGGTTGGCTCTCAAGCAGAAGACCAGTCCCAACTAAGAGTTAGAGGGGGATTTTATATTTTCTTACAAGAGTCTTTGGGAAGGGGATGCTTACAGATGTTTCCTTCAAGATAGGGAAGTGGGCTAGGGTCTCAGATAACTGTACCTGGGGAAAAGTGCTGCGGGCTGCTCCAGTCGGGAGGGGCTTATAAGCCTCAGGTCTAGGGTCTCGAAGAGGGAACACGAAGGTGGGTAGAAGTTCGGCGAAGGGACGATGAAAGAACACAAGACAAACCGTCAAGTGATCTTGATGATTTTAACTCTGAGTCATTCTAATTCCCCTTCTTCTTTCTTCCCTTGCTTATTGCATTTAACATGATACATTTATATTACATTTATATTGCATTTAACATGATACATTAATATTCTAATTAGAGGCTTAATCAACAGCCAGAAAAACAACAAGAGTAAGAATAAAGTTTACATTATTTTCTTACACACAGCTATTTTTTATGGTCATGGTTCCTTGGAGAGCATGAAAGGCTATTCTTAATCATCATGGTTCCTTGGTAATTGGAGAGCCTGGTAGACAATGGCTTTTTGCTTAAACATTTTCTTTTTAAACCTGTTTTTAAACCTGTTCTTCGGGCAGCGGCGGTGGTGAGTGCAGGCGGCGCGGGCTTGGGTCGTCCACGGGGCCGCCGGGACCGTCCCCGCGCGCCTGTCCGCGCCTCTGGCCCCGAGGCAGGCTACATGACCCGTGAGGGGGCGCTGGGTCCCGGGAGGTATGGTCGGGTCGTGCCGATGAAGTGGAAGCGGGAGCGCTCGTGGTCCACTGTAGGTGTGCCAAGTGCTTCTATTACCCTACGAAGAGGAGAATAAGAAAGAGACCCCGAAACCTAACCATCTTGAGTCTCCCTGAAGATGTGCTCTTCCACATCCTGAAGCGGCTTCCTGTTGGGACATCCTCTCAGTCAGAGCTGTACATTCTCACCTGAAGTACCTGATAGACAATCACGCAAGTGTGTGGGCCTGTGCCAGCTTCCAAGAGCTGTGGCCTTCTCCAGAGAACCTCGAGCTGTTTGAAAGGGCTGCTGAGAAGGGGAACTTTGAAGCTGCTGTGAAGCTGGGCATAGCCTACCTCTACAACGAAGGCCTGTCCATGTCCGATGAGGCCCGAGCGGAAGTGAATGGGCTGAAGGCCTCCTACTACTTCAGCTTGGCCGAGCGCCTCAACACGGGTGCCGCTCCCTTCATCTGGCTCTTCATCCGCCCGCCCTGGTCAGCCTCCGGGAGCTGCTGTAAGGCTGTGGTTCACGGCAGCCTCCATGCTGAGTGCCAGCTGCAGAGGGCTCACCAAGCTTCCATCCTGCACTGTCTGGGGAGAGTGCTGAGTCTTTTCAAGGATGAAGAGAAGCAGCAGCAGGCCATCGCCCTATTCCAGGAATCTGCCCGCCAAGGCTGTTTGCCCAGCCCCTACCTGCTCTGGGAGCGAGACCAGAGAATGGAGGTGTCTGACCCTGGAAGGTTCCTGCACAGCTTCCGGACACTCAGGGACTACGCTGCCAAAGGCTGCTGGGAAGCACAGTTGTCCTTGGCCAAAGCCTGTGCCCACGGGAACCAGCTTGGCCTGGATGAGAAAGCTAGCAATGAGATTGTCTGCCAGCTCTTCCAGTCTAGGAAGCTGCTCAGCAGTGTCTCCTCCTGGCTGGAGAGCTCGGCCGTGGGGGTGGTCACCATGAAGGACTTTACCAGCTTGTGCCTGCACCTGACCGTGGAGTGTGTGGACCGCTACCTGCGCCAGCGGCCTGTACCCAGGCACCAGCTGCAGCTGCTAGGCATCGCCTGCATGGTCATCTGCACCCGCTTCATCAGCAGAGAAATCCTGACCATCCGCGAGGCCGTGTGGCTCACAGACAACACGTACAAGTACGAGGACCTGGTGCGGATGATGGGGGAGATCGTGTCTGCCCTGGAGGGCAAGATCCGAATACCCACCGTGGTTGACTACAAGGAGGTTCTGATGGAGCTGGTCCCAGTGGCTTGGAGAACACAGCACCTGTGCAGCCTGCTCTGTGAGCTCTCCCTGCTCCACACCAGCCTCTCAGCCTACTCCCCGGCCCTCCTGGCTGCTGCTGCCCTCCTCCTGGCCCAGCTGATGCATGGACAGACACAAGCCTGGACCCCTCGACTTTGGGACCTCACCGGCTTCTCCCACAAGGACCTGGTACCTTGTGCCCTGAGCCTTCACAAAAAGTGCTTCCATGATGACGCCCCCAAAGACTACAGGCAGGTCTCACTGACAGCCGTGAAGCAACGATTCAAGGACAAGCGCTACGAGAGCATCAGCCATGATGAGGTGATTAGCTACAGCCAGCTGTGCACTTTGCTGGGTGTGAAGCAGGAGGACCCAGAACCCACACCTTTTCTCAGCACAGGGGAGATCCACACCTTCCTCAGCTCTCCCTCAGGAAGGAGGACCAAACGGAAAGGAGAGAACAGTGTGCAGGAGGATCGTGGCA